TGGTGGTTCTTTACACTTGTATTCTGCGCTGTCTACTTGTGATCCGATCTCCCAGGACACATTTTAAAACAAAGTCTTTCCTGGGTCGGTATGATTCCAAATGCCTGGGGTAGATTTTCAAGGAACCACATTATGAGGGTCAAACAATCATGGGAATATTGTTTTCCAGTGTAATGGCATTGTGTGTTCTCTGAGATCTGTCTAATTGTCAGCCTTTTGTTTAAGGTATTTAATATTTTATTGTTGAGAATTTTATTTCATTGAAGTCATGAACCTACAGAGAATCATGTGCATCTCCCCTCAGCTTTACTGAATTTACAGGGTGCAAACAACTCTCAGTGAATTATAATGTTGTTCTGTTAGTGTAGATTTAGGAATAAAACAGCTTTTTAAAACTGTGTGTTTTTAGGGTTGTGTTTGAGGTTAAATGGCATTGTTTCCATTAGTTAGAAACACAATTGACTGGTTATCCACACTGAGTATAAAGTGACCCGTTTCCTTTATGGTTGAATGAATGTACAGCACTATTGCCTTTGGATAAACATGTATCAATACATCCTGTCCATTAGACTGGAACTTATTTGTGTTTGAGATGCAAATCAGTGATTGTCATGAGCTGTTACAGAGTGTTGTTTACTTGGATTTACAAAGCTGTGAGTTTTAAGTATATTTGTGAAAAATTATACAAATGTTTTGATGCAAACTATAAAATAAAAGGGAATTTTCAGGTGTCACTTCAGGGGCCAAAACAGGACACAGCACATTTGTTATTATGACATGTATTATACAAGAAAATATGTTTTTAATTTTAAATGATATCAGATTGTCACTAACAGACAATAAAGTCATAATGAGCATTTCCTGTTCATTTAGAGATTCATTAAAGTTTCAGTCTCTTATCATGATCTCACACTGGAGGCAAATTAAAACCTCATATGAAAAAGTTTGGTATAATAGGAAAAACCAGCTTGAAATTAAAAGGAGATTCAGTTTTCATTTAATGGTACAGTGGATTTTGTGTTGTTGCTTGCGCTTACTGTGTAACTGTGTCTTCCTTCACTTTGGAATTAGCAGCGCATCAATTTCTCATTAGCATCTGCCTTCCAGATTTTGTGATAAATCACCAGATTCCTCACCTTCTGATCTGCAGTTTGTATTGACAGTTCATATAAATGAACAGATCTCTTTTATCTCTGACACCCCCCATGAATATTTTTCTCCAAAATGCATTCTCTTTTTGAAAGTTTATTTATTCTTCTCATCTTCAGTATTTAAATGGCAGCCTGTCAAGACCACCCTCTGGCTTCAAAATTCACAGCTTTCTATTTCTGCTGTGGTTTTAAATGCATCACAAACAGTACATATTTCACACCTTGCCCACAGCAACTATGGCATATGTGCTTAGTCATAAAGTCAAAACTTAGTTATATTCCCAACCAATTTTCATATGACCTCTGGCAGTGCTCATTTTTTGACTCATGTTTCTCTGCACATGTTGTGCTGCTGACCAGCAAGCTGCTATTTCCTGCAGCACTGCACACATGTAAAGACATCAAATGGATGAAGCCTTGAGTCTGCGTCTGAAAAATAAATTCCCTGAGGAACAGCTTTTGGAATGGATGTTTCATACAAGGATTTTTGTTCATTATTGTGATGTTTGTAATGTGCTGCCTGAGCATGAAGTGCTAGGTTCAGCTACTGTACTGTACAGCATATGTTCCACAAAACCCACTTTATGAGCTGTGAGGTGTCACAGAAAATCTCTGCTCTGAAGATGTCACATGGATGAATAAAGGATGGATAAAAGAAAAAAAGGATACTAAAACGTACAGTATAATTCTACAAAAACTGGACCTGCCTATTCCTACTGGCCACAGTGCAGAACTACTGGAAAGGTTTGAGTTCAGTTTATTATAAATACTTCTTCCTTCTTACTGCAAAGCTGCTGCCTATAAAAGGCTGGATAACAAATTTATTCATTTAAAACAGTTTGCACGATCATTTGATTAACTAAGTTTGTGACTGAATCCGTCTACACCATCAGTACAGTACCATATCCTGCATTATTAATGATATCTATGGGCTCTGTGTTAAAATCCAGTTCACTGATAACAAGTTTATATTGTGCTCACAAGGCAAATTCTTCTGATTAAGGTTTAGTCACAATACCACAGATTTTATGACAGAGAAAACCTAGATTTGGGTAGTATTATTTCACTACTGCAGTGCATGGATTCAGGGTGCCTGGGCATAGAAAGAACCTGCTATGGTCTTGTATCTGTAGTGTAGAAGCAAGAAGGTACATACACAGTACACAGATGATGGGAGTTGGGTACCAGCTACTTATTGCCCTTGGCCACCTGATTTGTTAGTCCAGCCATGCCTGCATACCATTTGATTTTACTGACTCCAGTCTTCTTAAAACCATCTTTGTTGTTAATTGTTACAGCATGAAACTCTGTTATCCTGAACACAAACGATCGCAATGCAGACTGCAGACTGTCAAAAGAATGGCTTATACTGCATTGTTCAGGGCCACAGAGTTGCCAACCAACATACAGCCTAACCTTGATAAGAGCTGTGTGAGTTTGTGTGAGGTCAAAACTTGAACACTCAAATAAAGCACAGAGTAAACAAATAATAGCAGCCCTACCACGGTGGATTAGCTCATAAAGCAGAGTGTGGTGGGAACAACATGCTCCCACTCTAGCAAAACAGAAACACTGCTCTGAAATCTACTTGTATATCTGTGCAGCCTCCGCTAACTCACTTCACTGATTATCTGGAGCAACAGGGTGACCTGTATTGCTGCACGGTGATAGACTGACATTATACTGTGTGTGTGTGTCAGAGGGCCTGGGAGGAACAGAGCTCCCTCATTGGCTCTCCAGTCAAGGCCAGGACTGTATGCTGACTGTGGTCAGCACAAACTGAATAGCTGACGTGGCCCAGCTGTCAACAGAACTCAGGGGACAGGACTCCCTTTCAGCTGTGTGCAGAAGAAGTGCTTTAACTAAAATATATGCTTGATTTTTAACCACATGTGAGTGGAATTCAAATAGAAATCTCTGTGCTCTTCCACTCAGGTGTTAAAGGGCCAGACTAGGATGGACACAATCTCCCATCCTCCGCCTTGCGCTGATGACTATTTATAGCCCTGTGCAAACGATGAGTGAGCAAATATGATAATGATGTCACATTATAAAAAAAGGCCTAACATGCACTCAGCATAACTAAACAGAAAGAGGTCGCTGTAGATGCAGCTGTCCTGAGCAAAAATATATTTTCTGAAGGCAGTATTTTCAACAGAAGCAACAACGTGACTGGTGAAATCTGAAGTAGTGCTGGAATAATTAAATTATCTGTTAGATTGTAACGTACTTTATAGAGGCGGAAAGGCAGGAGAGAAAGAAACTGATGCACTAGCATTGCATGGGTAAACAGTCAGATGATAAACATCACTATCTATCCCTCTAATAGTTCTGGACTAGTGCAGGCAATGTTGCAAAGTGGAGATCTGGACAGTTTTATGGTTAAACTGGATTTACAGGATCTTTATGTTGTTTTCCATTTAATAAACTGAAGATTGATCTATGCTAGACTATTTGTCAGACCAAATTAGGCATTCAAACAAGTCACCCTGAATTGTGGGACATTTTAAGTGGCATTTAATAGAATAAATAACAAATAACCAACAAATAACTCTGTAAAGGAGATCATCCTTAGATGCAGCAGCAATCCCAATATTTAAGTCAATATCTATCTATGATCCTAGATTGTATTTTTGGTGCAAAGACATCTAAGGGTTGTAGCTGAAAAAAATGTATTTAAAAAATACAGGAAAATGCTCATCAAAATTTCCCAGAGCACAAGACAGCATTTTCAATTTGCTATTGAATTTAACCAACAGTCTAAAACTCAATGAGATTCAAAATGACATCTATATAAAGCAGAGAAAAGTAGCAAATCCACAAAGAAAAGAAGATGGAACCACATGACTTACAGTAGGCTACATTCCTGATCAGGGCTAACTAATATATCTTGGTATAACATAATATAATGTGACTTTATTAACAGTATATGGCTGTAAAATAATGTGTGAAGTCATAGTAAAATAAATAAATGAATAAATAATTCAGAAAATCATAGGGCAAGTAGGGACCTAAGAAATTAGCCATAAAGCAGTCTGGGCTTGGATGTGAATAAATAATTGACAATATCACAATGACGAATCCATGTGGCTCAAAAGCTTCCTAAAGCCCCTTAAATACATCACAAACGACACGCTTCCAACTCAAATATCTACAGTCTGCATGGATACCTCTATGTACCCATGTCTTATTAAACAATTAACTTGGTGAAACATTTCTGAATCATCTGTGATAGTAGCTCCAGGCAGCTCTGCAAGCCAACTGCGTCGTTTCAAATTAAAAGCCTAGAGTGCTGGAGAAAACGCTGTTGTCCACATCAACAGTTCATCACATTATTATTATTCTCTGGCAATGTTTTCAGAAAATCTCTACTAAATGACTGTTGGCCTAAGGCAGAATTCAACCAAGCACTAGACTAAAGATGTGTAAACGTGTGTGCAACGGACACCTCACGATCAAAACAACAACAAAGTCACAGCCAAAGATCCGGACTTTTAAGATTTCTTTCATAACATTCCTGGTGTTACATGTAGCCTGTGCGCCTAATGGGATTCATATTACGCAATACGGGTGTGAGGCGTGCGTAACGTGTGTGAGCCTGAAATAATTCTTTGCAATGTACAAATTACACGGATCATTAAAAAGCGGATCCATGACGAAGTGGCAGAGATAAGCGGGTATTTGCTTTGGTTTCGTGATTCTACCTGACAGAGAAGACATGAACACAGCCGCACATCGCTCCTCTCTCCAGCCGCGGAGCAAACAATTTGGTGCTAAAAAGGAGGAATATAAACTTTGACAGCGCCCTGTTCAGCCACGCCATGTGACACAGACTGACAGCCAACTTACTTTTCCTGCATGACATTCTCCTTGATGGCTCCCAGGGTGGAGTGGTTACCCTGCTGGAGTCTGCAGGTGGCCAGGTGTCGCTGGTGCTGATCTTTCAGACAGACGTTTTCCTTGCAAAGATCCGTCACCTGGAGCTCCAGCTCTTCAATCCGGACCCTCTGCCTCTCCAGCAACCCCTGTTGGGTCTCGATAATTTTATTCAGCTCCTTTAGATACTCCGCCGCTTTGCTGGGGTTCTCTGTCGGGTTCTCCATCTCGTAAAAGCCCCGTTGCCCATCCATGAAGGCGATATCTATACAAGCCGAAAAGCAGTCCTTTCCCTATCACACACAGCCTCAGTAGTAGTAACACTGAGCGCTGTTAAATCCAGAGACACTCCTCTGCTCCGACATGGCTGGTCTGTCGTGTAGTGGGAGCTTTGCTGTGAAGTTGGCCACGTTTGGTGCGCCGCTGTACGCCACGGCTTAGTCCACACGCTCTGCAATGCAACAGCCTAACTAACCTCCAGCCAGCCGCTCCGTGCACGGGAAAACCATTTAACTCTTTCAGGGCAGGAGGTTCAGCGCTCCGACTGCGTGTTCAGCCGACACACTCAGGCGTACTTTTTTTTTTGTACAGAACTGCGCGTGTACTGCGCGTACTCAACAGGTAGGTTGAGTTTCCGTTGCGCAAAAACACGTGCTTGGTCATTTGGCCAGCAATGTTCTTTTGTGCTAGTGTTAGCTCTGTGTTTGTTTATGGTCGAGCTGGTACTACTTCCACATCTCTGCACTAGCATGCAAACAACCGGTCGATGTTTGGAAATAGCCTGGTCAGTCAAGAAACAGAGACATAGGCTACTGGTTGATTATAATGAGCTTACAAAAGAGTTCTAGATAACCCAGGCCTATTTCTAAGACTATTAGAACTTGTTTCATGACCATCAAGCAAAATTCCATACAACAAAAATGATTAGTATTTGGTGTTGTAAAAAGCTCTGATTGGACAAAACACAACCACTGGCTGGTGTCAATTCTGTGTGGAAGCATTGTTTGTGTGGACCCTATGAATCACACCCTAAATTTTAATAACACAACTTAGACATTCTATTTTACAGGACATACACTATACTGATGATTATATCTTCAAGCACTCACAAAAATGTAAAGTTATGAATTTCAACCAGATTATGCAAATAGGCCTATTCTTTGTCCTCTTGCAGGGAAAGAAGAGGCAGATCATTCCTGCAGCACTACACCAATGCCTAAATTGTTCTTTAAATGTGCACAGCTGTACCACTGTTTAATGCTACTCAGACTTCAGTGAAGATGGACTACAGCCTACACATTAAACTGACTTCAGCATTAAAAATATTACTTTAAAAAGAAATCTTTCTAGAGGCAGTATGGGTATTTGAATGAGAGGACTCAGAAGAAAACAATCTATAAAATCAGTGAGATGTTTTCAAAGGACTGACTCCTTTTCATTTCCCTTTTCATGCTTGGACATAAATAATAAAGAAAGCTTGTGTGTTTTGGTGGCTCACAGGGTTAAAGTGCATACAACATGTTCAGAGTGCAAGTCATGAGCCATGACCTTTGTTAATATAAAGCCCTGTCTTGGCGGTTCACTGGTTCCACATCTTATGACTGATCATGTGAACATGTAGCAGCTGTTACCAGAACCCCCCGTGTCTCTCAGCGCTAAGACCCTTCATACCTGACCTTTGGCTAGTTAAATTGCTAGTCTGAATGCTGTTGCATACTGTGCAGCAGTGAGGACCACTGAGTGAGTCCCCGTCCACAGCATTAGCTTTTAAGAGCATTACAGGGCATCATGGTACACGTCCTCTTCTTTTCTCCAGAGTGACGCTGGCTGTAACAGTTTACCACTGTCACTGGTACAACATCCAAATATGATTTCAAAACTTGTCAGACTTTTTTCCAGAGAATACTTTCTTAAAACAACATCAACAAAATTAGATATTTTCACAGATTTATGATACTTTGTAGACTAAGTTATTAATTTGAAAATTAATTATCAGATGAGTCATAATTAAATAAAAATACAACTTTATATTTATTTTCTCTATAAAAAGCCCTAATTTCTAAGGTAAATGGGTTTTTTTTTATGTCACTTCCTGTTTTAAATCAGTTGCCAATGGCCACCAGTAATGACAGATACCCCCTTTTCAACCCAGGCAGTTGTAGGGCTGGTTCAGAGCAGTGGCTGATTTGGAACCAGTTCTTTGTGTCTGTGTGTCGACAGCCTAAGAACTGGCTGTGGGCACTGAAAACAGGTTCTAACTTGGTACCAGCCCTCTGCTGGTCTAGAACTAGGAACTGCTTACGTCAGGATTATCATGAGCAAAAACCAACTAAAACATTCTGACTGCCATCTTTAAAAAAACACAATAGTGTAGTCTTGCCTAAAAACATAAGCTTCATTGATGTGAAATCAAAGCAGCAGTGGACCATGGAGGAGACAAAATATTAGCTAGATAAAGGCTAAAGCTAACAAAGGCTAACATCTAACAGTCAGAGTTAATATGAATTAGTCTTGTTAGGTAATTATGTTTCTTCTCAGACATTATCACTGTCCATCAAAAATAGAACTCATGACGAACAGCACAAATGCATTGGCCCAGTCATGTTTAGATGCCAGTGTAGGCTTGCAATGCCAGGAGCAACACTACAAAGGGGAAACTGAAGTCCACCATTGTTGTTGTACTTGGCACTAGCATTGCTGGGACAGCAGAGGCATATTCAGACGTATAAAGTGACATAATTATGTGGCTCTGTGGTGGCTCTCTAGCCCATGGAAAAGCAAACAGGCTCTTAGAAGGCTTGCAAGTTGGACCAGCTCCAAAACTGCTCCAGCACCAGCTCGGAAGTAGTACTTATTTTGTGTTGGTTAAAAAAGGGTGAGCGTACTGACCACTTCTATATCACTGCATCAAGGGGTGAACTTTAATCACTGGAGGCCACTAAACAAAGGGTTTTTCTCTGGTGATATGTTACATTTTAAATGTGCTTTTTGTCAATTCACTGATTATTTTAATAACAGAAACAACATAAAAAATTTCAAACCAAAACTAAATATATAAATAAATTATCATGCACACATTTTGCCTTTGCGGATGGAGTATGGGACTGAATGAAATGATTTGCATGACATTGGTGGTTGTTTGGTTTTATAACAACAAAAATATCAAGGGACAAGGAGCTAAACTATAGTTTTTATATTTGTTTCTGTTTTGTCAGTGGTAAATGTGCATGGAAACAGTGGTGGAATAACACTGGAATAAAAGTTCTCAGCTGGACCTGAATCAGGGCAATTGCAAATATAGTATAGGGTCAAACATCTCCTTAGGCCACTAGCACAGCCCACACACTCCTCCATAATGGTCCTCCATACATCCTGTCATGGGTGAAATATAGCCGCTTCATCTTCTGTCTTTGGTGTGTGAAATCATTTCTGCGGATAATCTGGATAAATGACGTGTTCTCCTCAAATGTGTGGACTTTGTGAGACATTATGATGGCCCTTGGTTATCCTGACATGTACCTTACATCATGCAGTGTCACAGCCTATCTGCAGCACGCTCTATTCAGATAAGCATAGACAAGCAGACATAGCCATACATAATTCATATTGAATAAACTCACTGCCGCCACATCACTTGTCATATTATGAAGATAGGTTTGCTTTGTCTTAATGTTAATTAGGGGAAGGCAGTCATGAATGCACTGTAGGATAGACAATAGAATGCGATTAAGATTATACTGTACTTCAGGAGTTTTCCATTTTATTCAGGGAGAGTTGGTGAAATTCTCACTGTGTCTGAGTTGCTGTTAATGACATCAAGCTAAAAGCAGATTTCTGTGCTTTCTTTTTGCACACTGGGCCGTATTCACATAAGCAGCTGAAGAGGCAAACCACAGATGAAGCCTGTTATTATGCATGACGCTCTCACATGCTGTGTCTGGATGGTTTTTTTTCACACAGTGACTGCCCTCTAGTGGTTTACTGTGTTCAGAGCACAGTGAAGGGGGCTGGTGATGTTTCACAACTCTGAATTAATTTTCTAGCTGCATACCTGACTATTAAAGGGTTTCGAGCAATAAACCATCACAGTGTGCACTGCATTAAGGCACAGAATTAACCTAGTCTTGTCTGATAAATACAGACAACTAAAGGGATGATGAAGCTTGCTCACATTGTGCACTGAGAGATGCAATACAGAGGACTAAATCCTCTCTGCCATCACCTGCCAACCACTTTGATCCACCATATCTCAGTTGAGAATGATAATGTGCATAATTCACCAAAAAGATTCTGTGATCCTCTGCTTGTAGAAATCTTCAAAGTGTGGAAGACAGTAGTGGCAGAGTGCATTGTAGAAAAGGAAGTACACCCCCACCCCCTTTTCAGACGTTATATTTAGACACTCTGGCTTTTCTTTTGCCTTCTGATAAAATAGCTCCATCTTGCAGTGGTGCTGTACGGACAGCAAAATGCACATATAGGTTTCTGCTGCCTGCAGTTTTCATCTGATCCTGCGAGCTTTGACTCAGAATATTCAACTTTCTGTGAGAATGCAAGTTTCATCTCACAAAAGGTCAAAGATGAAAGAAAGACAGACTGAGGTGGCTAAAGTATTCACCTCATATTCCACCACAGATGCTACATGATAAAACAAAACCTGGCCTGAGTGGTGAACTGGAAAACACACATAGGAAGGTCTGTTATTCTTGCCAGCTCACAGCTTGTGATTCAGTTTGACTGCTGAGATCCTATCTATCTTCATGGTTTAAAATGCAGGGATGGCCTTTTTTCAAAACGGCAGTGGAGCGTTTCCTTCACTCACTGCAACAGCAACGTTGCTGCCAGAGAGGGGAGGATGCTTTATGTATCTAATGGCTGAGTTCAGATGTTTTTACTGCCTCAGATTAATTTTTCTGACCTCAGGTGGCTAGTTAGAATTTAATATCCACCCTATCAGCTGTTGTTTTATCCACTGTTCCTGAAAAAAGAACATGGATTTATAGATCCTAAACTCCTCAACAAAGATTTGAGGGGATTTAGAAGGGTTCCAGGTTATTTATAATTTTGTCAGTGATCCAGTTGACATGTTATGCCAAGTTTTGTCTTGGAAAATGCCTCCAGCAATGTAACGTTTATACAGTTTATAGCCAGATTGATTCAATGGTTGGTGACACATTATAAAAAAGAAAAACCAAGATAAAGTGTATTAGCAACATGTTCTATCACAGTGCTCCTTGTCATGGATTTTCCAGGTCACTGAACTCTACTGATGAACAGTGTTCTTCCAAATGATATGCTCTTATTACATGATGATGGTGAGGAGCACTGTCTAACACACCTCTCCAAAGCCTCATATAGGTTCAGCTGGGTTGAGATCTGGTGACTGTGAAGGCCATAGTGCATTTTCACACTCATCCAACTAATCACTGAGGTCTTGTGTAATGTTTGAAACCATCTGCAATAGTGACATTTCTCCACTTGTTTGTTCTCTCAACAAGTCCAGAAACTACCATTTCATTATGTTCCATGCAAACATCATAATGCAGATGTGTGGTCCAAAACTAGAGTCAACAAAAGATGATGTTTACTCTTGAAATGACAGCTGTCAAAACCACCCCTCAGTGTTCTTTCAAAACATAAACCCACACAGCATTGTGAGTGACTGTTTATCAGTTTAATATAAACTGCTCAAAAAATTAAGGGAACACTTCATCATCACAGTATAACACCAAGTCAGTTAAATTTCAATGATATCAATCTGTCCGTTTAGGAAGGACAAGTGACTGTGAATCAGTTTCACCTGCTTTGGTGTAAATGTGTAATGGAGAGGCAAAAGCAAGACAACCCCCACACATTGAATGGGTGGGCACAGACAAATGCTCTCTCCTGATCCTTCTCAGGTTTTGTGTTGTGCTAGTGTCCATGTCACTACTGGTAGTATGAGGCAGTACCTCCAGCCCAGTCAGGCTGCACAGGTAGTCCAGTCACTCCAAGATGGCACATCCATATGTGCAGTCACAAGAAGGTTTGCTGTATCTCCCAGCACAGTCTCAAGAACATGGAGGAGATACCAGGAGACTGTTACACCAGGAGAGCTGGACAGGGCCATAGCAGGGCAACAACACAGCAGCAGGACCAGTATCTGCTCCTCTGTGCAAGGAGGAACAGGAGGACCAATGCGACCTCCAGCAGACTACTGGTGTGCATGCTTCTGACCTCAACTGTCAAAATAGACTCCCTGAGGGTGACATGAGGCCCCGATGTCCTCTAGTACAACCTGTGCTCACAGCCCAGCACCATGCAGCTCGACTGTCATTTGCCAGAGATGCCAAAGTGAATGTTATGCTGCCTGTAACATTATGGAGCATGACCAGTTTGGTGGTGGGTCAGTGAAGGTCTGGGGAGGCGTATCCTTGGAGGGCCGCACAGAGCTCCATGTCATAGCCAACGGTACCCTGACTGCTGTGAGGTACTGGGATGAAATCCTCAGAGTGACTGTCAGACCTTACACTGGTGCAGTGACCCATGGGTTCCTCCTGGTGCAGGACAGTGCCCAGTCTAATGTGCCAGAGTGTGTAGGCAAGTTCCTGGATGACAAAGGCACTGATGCCATTGACTGGCCCTCATGTTCCCCCCCTAAATCCAATTGAGCACCTCAATCTAC